GTATGGGGAAAGGAGATCAAGAGACAGGATACAACAGACAGATAGGGGTGGGAGAAGGAGGAGGAAGAACATGGGAACAGAGCAGCAGGCATTTTTTGACAGAATTACATCAATTCCTACAAGGACACAAGGATGAAGAAAATAATAGTCACTGCTGCCTACTTGAAACTAGGAAATACTTTAAGCACAATATGAATGAGATCATTCAGAGGGACCTTGACTCGCTTGTGAGGTGGGCTGATGCCAACCTCATGAATTTTAACCATGCCAAGTGCAAGGTCCTACACCTGGGTCGGGGCAATCCCAGGCACAGCTACAGGTTGGGCAGAGAAGAGATTCAGAGCAGCCTGAGGAGAAGGACTTGGGGGTGTTGGTTGATGAGAAAATGAACATGAGCCGGCTTCAGTGTGCGCTTGCAGCCCAGAAAGCAACCGTATCCTGGGCTGCATCAAAAGGAGCGTGACCAGCAGGTTGAAGGTGATCCTGCCCTTTTACTCTGTTCTTGTGAGACCTCACCTGGAGCATTGTGTGCAGTTCTGGTGTCCTCAGCATAAAAAGGACATGGAGCTGTTGGAGCAAGTCCAGAGGAGGCCAAGAGGATGATCAGGGTCTGAAGCACCTCCCCTATGAAGATAGGCTGAGAAAGTTGGGGCTGTTCAGCCTGGAGAAGTGAAGCTGTGTGGAGACCTCAGAGCAGCTTCCAGTGTCTGAAGGGGGCTACAAGGATGCTGGGGAGGGACTCTTCATCAGGGACTGTAGTGATAGGACAAGGGGTGATGGGTTCAAACTGAAACAGTGGAAGTTTAGATTGAATATAAGGAGGAAATTCTTTCCTGTTAGGGCGGTGAGGCACTGGAATGGGTTGCCCAGGGAGGTTGTGAATGCTCCATCCCTGGCAGTGTTCAAGACCAGGTTGGATGAGGCGTTGGGTGATATGGTTTAGTGTGAGGTGTCCCTGCCCATGGCAGGGGGTTTGGAACTGGATGATCTTAAGGTCCTTTCCAACCCTAACTATTCTACGATCCTATGGGACTCCATGTACCCCTAGTCCAGTCCAGAAGTCAGAACAAGACCCATACAGCTCGAGTGAAGGCAATACAGGGCAGAGCTGAAACTTCACCTTTTCTGCTCTGCCACACAGCAAGTGCCTGTTCCTGTATAATCCTATCTCAGAAGGAAAAACGTGTTTCCTGGCATGACAAAGTCCCAGCTTCCAAGTTCTGTGTAAGTTCTAACATCAGACAAGGACCTCAGACAGCAGAAATAAGCAGCTCTCACGAAGTATACACAAAGCTGGGGCTGAGGCAGGCTACTGAAAAGATCTTTCAGCTTCCTTGGACCAGTTGGTTGAGGCTGTTTGAAAGCAAAACAGGATTGCTAAAGCAGCTCTACATCTTCATTAGCTTTCCACAACGACATCCTGCAACCAACTGGTTTGTTACAGCCAAACATAACAAGTAAATACAAGGTTCAGTTATCAAGGAGCATCCCCAAGTTTTGCCAAATCTTGGTGATTTGTACTTTTTTTTCCCTACAGAGACTACAGAGAGTTTTATGCTACACCTTGCATCAGCTAGGCAGAAGAGATGTATCCCTTGGCAGGCTCAAATCACATCTACCATCAATTTTACCATGTTTCTATAAAAATATGCTCTGTTCTGCATTATTATATTTATCAGAGACTCATAGAATGGTTTGGGTTGGAAGGGACCTTCAAAGCTCATCCAGTCCAACCCCCTGCAATGAGCAGGGACATCTTCAACCAGATCAGGTTGCTCAGAACCACATCCAGCCTGGCCTGGGATGTCTCCAGGGATGGTTCATCCACTGCCTCTCTGGGGAGCCTGTGCCAGTGTTTTACCACCCTCATTGCACAGAAAGTCCTTTCCAATCCCAACCATTCTATCACTCTATGAATGAGTGGTTTGGGAACAAGCAGGAAAATCACCCAGCATATGGATGTGAAGGCAGGAAAGGATTAGGTGTCATTGCTCCCCCTCACAAAAGACACAAATCCTTTGATATGTAGATGGTGAGACTAGAGTGAGATTCTATACTGAGCTGAACTGTCCCATGTTTAAAAGATGCAGCAGGAGATGTGCTGTAAGGGAGTTCAAACACCAACATTTTCACTGGCTTATGAGTTTTCTGCTTTTGGAGGAAGCACAGACTAACTCTTGTGGCCTAATTCTTTACAAATGTTCTGTGTTAAAAATGCTGACCTGCATATTTGGTCTCTGCTAAATGTCAATGTAGATGGAAAAATGAAAAACAACTGCTGGAGAACAGGTATCTCCCTTAGGGTCATGCTTTGGGAGACTATCTCAACAGGTCAGATTTTTGCCAGTGTCAAGATCACTCTGGTACAGCAATATACCAGAAGAATACTTCAAACCTGCAAAAGTTGACAATTGTTCCTCTTTGATTACTGATTATTCCTCTTCTGGAGGAAGACCATCAGAAATAACCAGAAGATTATCAGAAATAAGGTCTAAAGAAAAGGGTACAGCTCCCAGAAGGGTTTTCAATCCAAACCCAAGGGATCGTTCTACCACGTACTGCTTTCAAGACGAACTTAACCATCCCCAAGTCATTGGGTCCAACTCTCACAGCATATGGGAACTGTTCAGCATTTCCACATGTGCAGAGAAACAAAATGTACCTTCCAAGTAACTCACCTAATTAATCTCAAGCTCTAACGTATGGGGTGAACCATCTTTACAATCACGATGTATGCTGAGAATGCTTTAAAAGCCTTTTGTACAGCGAGGACACGGTTCTGACATTAGAGAACTCGTTGACATATTCTAGATACAGGCTAGAAATAAAGCTCAGGATTATTCGAGCCTTGCTCTAAAGCTGAAGAGCATAAACAGGTCACTATGGGAAGTCTGAACTATAGATAACTGTACTTATCCAGTTCATCTAAGCTTTTTCTGCACAGCAGAGAATTACAACATTCACTCTTGGAGAACTGACCAAAAACATAGAGGAAGGGGGAGAAAAAAAGGAGAACAACCTGCAAATGCAGTATTATCTGAGGTATTTCTAGCGTACTATCTATTGCACAGCAAGGTGCCCAGACAAGCAGAAGCTAAAATGACAACCGCATCCACTACTTGCGCTGTCTTAATAAAGGCAAAAATAAAGACATAAGGGGAGCTACAGAAGGACAGGAGAACACAGTCCATGCTCCATGTGAGGGTAAGTCACTGAGAAAGCAACAGGAACTCACAACACACTGCGGTGCTTCCCCCCGGAAGCAATACCGAGCATTAAGACCAAAAGCCTTGCAAAACCAAAAAGACCCCCCCAAAACCAAACCTAAACACCTCAGCAGCCCCCGACGAACACCAGCCCCTGCTTTCACACAGTCCAATCAATAAATCAGATCATGAAATGATTTGCAGCAGCGTTAGTTAATGCATTCACTGAAAAATAACTCAAGCAGTGTGTCAGGTATCACCAATAACGAAGGAGTTCGTAAGTGAGTTACGGGTGGGTGACTCTGAGGTCTACACAGGATTGTAGCACTGACTTCCAGGGCTGGAAATAGCATTTTTCTAACACAGCTACAGATTTTTCTGCTGGAACTAAGTTCTTCTGAGGCTTGTTTTGCAGAGTCAGCAAAACCTATTTTAAGCGCAGTTCATCAGCATCCTCACTCCTGGCTGCCCGCATGGGTGATCGCAGGAGAAGTGGAAGAAAAGAGGTGTAAAATGAAACGGGTGAATGACTAAAGTGGAAACAAGCACTGGCTCTCCAGCTCTCTGTGCTGCTGGAGAAGATGCTCCTGTGGCTCTTGTGCCTCCCCACTGGGGGAAAGAGGATGTGTGCGTAGGTTTGCTAAGGTAAAAGGCAGAGAAGGAGCAGGTGCCCTGGAGAATACAACCTCATTCATTCTCAAAGGTTGCCATTTGGAAACATGGCATCATCCATCTGGGATCACTATTATTTTAAGGCCCTGTGTCAAGGCCCCCTTCATTCACAGATACTGCATGAAAACTTACATTTCATGTGAGTGTGGATGGGGAACAAGTGGGAGCAATGAGTCTTTGGCAAGCACTGGAATATCATACAGCATTGGAAAGGGACTCAGCTCTTGTCTTCATCCTGTGTTCTCCACTGAAGGGAACCATGAAGAACAAACTGCTACCTTCGTCACATTTGCTCAGCTGCTTTAGTCAACAACAGTCAAAATTAAACTACTAGGAATCAAGTTATTTCATTCACACTTCTTATCTAAATGGGCCTTGGTCAGTGCTACATCGCCACAGCTAAGGCTGCTTTTGGAACCTAGCCTGTAATGCAGACAAGAAGGACTATCACAGTCACCATCCTTTGCTGCTACCACGTGTTTGCTTGAATTTGCTTTGGTTTTGTGGTACTGCCTTTAAACGTTGTGGCTCTGTTAGCCTCAAAAGGGAGAGATAGCGAAACCCTGCACTCTCTACAAATGGAAGCCTGGCAACATATTCTTAACAGATGTTAAGAATTATGACAGGTTGCACTACTGTTTTCACTGGTTACTTGCCAGTAAGCCCAAAGCATTCCTGCCAGTAAGCTGGCATTTCTAAAAGCACTCCAAAACACAATCGCACCTGGATGATTCATTCACCAAGAGTTTTCCTTCCCCTCCTCACCCCTCAGTGGGATTTGCTGCTAACTGGATAACTGCCTTCCCACCATCTGCGCTCAGGTCCCATGAGTAACCCAGGCATTTCAGACCCTAGCCCTGCTCAGGCTAAATCCAGTTACTGCTTGCTGATTCACCAGGCCAGCTAAGCAAGCCTGGGAAGTGCACCAGGTAACCAAACACTCTCAGAACAAATTAACCTCTATAGACATCAGGCACGTCACACCTCAGGAACAAACCAACCCCTACACAAGCAGGCACTTTGTGTCCTAGCCCGCCAGTGTTAACCACTGACAAACAGAAGGAAAAGCTCAGGTCAGTCCACAGCTGCTTAACACAGGTTGCTGAACAATAAGGCCCTTACCTTGCTTGCTGGCAGACGCTGCAAATCCAAGCCTTCTCCTTCTTCTGGTAAGAACTGCAGCTCTTGCAGATGTTGTACTTGCAGTCCTGGCACTGTCGTTTGCTGTTGATAAGGAATGTGAAAGGAGCACAGCAGCGAATACAGCAGTGCTCGTTGAACTTCTGCTGCTTGGAAAGGATGCTGCACTTGTTACCCTCTTCATCCAACTTCTGCTTCATTTCACTGGAATGGAAAGCAAAAGAACAATGCGAATTTCAATGGGAAGATTCCCCTTCGCCCTTCTCTTCACACATCTTCATGTTACACTCTTTAAATAACTGGTGCAGGTGTGAAAAAAATGGCAGAAATGCATATTCTAAATGCAGAATGGGAAGTAAAACCTCCTGTATTCCCTGGAGTTATCCATGGGGAATTCATCTAAATGTGCTGAGTCACGAACCAGGGCAAGCAATCTCCTTTCACTCAGCTCCAGCAAGGGAACCCTTAGGAGAGCTGCTCCAGGTACTCCAGCTGGGCACAGCCACAGCATCATTTGAGGCCTCAGGGCTGCTTTTGGAACACTTCACAACTGAAAACTCAGTCTAGGAAATCAAAAGGCTCAGTGCACAGCAGCAGAAAATCCTACTGATGAGCAGGTTTGAAAACAGAAGTGCCAAGTTTGCTTTGTTCTGATGCAGTGGGGTTGCATTATTCATAACAGCTCCAATTTGTCAAGGGTGGTTAATCACATACTTCGTTTCAGAGAAATTTGGGTGTTTTACTAGGTAGGACCAATACTAAGCCAACTGCTAATTGTTTGTGAATTGTTGCAGACCCCCTCAAGTCTTCTGTATTGCAGCAGAACTCATTTATTAAGAAACAATAATTATAGAGCTCTCTGTGTATGTGCGTGGTATTGAGCCATTTGCTACCTCCCATTTTACACTGCCTTTGGTATTTTTTGACTGAGGGAATATATATTCCATGGTAAGAGTAATAAAACACATGCAGAAAGAGCAGTTGTATAAGTAGACACGTCTACATCACACAGTTCCTGGCGCGTACAACTAGGATCTACATTGAGAGACCCAAAAAAACCCCTTAATTCATGAAAACCATGTGCAACAGAAGCTTACAGAACATACACATATTCATGCTTTCCAGTTCTCAGAATTAGTGATGACTACCTTACTATTTCCAATTGCTGATGAGAACCACGTAGTAGAGTAGCACAAAACCCTCAACAGAATGTAAAGGTACCACAAGAGACAGAGTTAAGCTATATCTTGTGGTACATTTAAATTCTGCAGGAAGAAAGAGTCTCAAGATGCTGACTTACACTCAAATTAATGCTGAGGTACCTTGCTAGAGGGGAAAAAAGAAAAGGAATACTCTTACTGCATACTTATTCAGGAACTCAAGCAAGATCATCTATAAGCATCCTCATGAGCCAAGCCTGGAATGTTAAGAAGACTCGCCTCGCTGGCCTATGCATCTTCTTCTTTGCAATTTCTGCCTCAGATTCATCACTCATAATACAAGCAGCCCATTTGATGGAAGTCTGATGGGTCAATTCTAAACCTCAAGTCTAAAGGGCAATCAAGGCAGTGCTCTAAAGCATATCATTATTGAACTTGCATATATATCATGTTTAACCATATTCCTGCTATACCCCTTCTATTAAACTTGAAACCCATGTACGCTGCTGTTGTTTGCCCCCTGTACAAAGGTTTCTTACACCAGCTGCTCAAACCCAAGTAAATACTCTTTGGAGTTTCAAGTAAAATAATCTTTCTTGGAAGATTTTTGTCCAGATGGCAAAATTTCACATGGTTTTCTGCATATTTACAGAATGCTGAAGGTGAAAAATGTGAGATTATCATGTAAGAGAGGGAAGTCTGAGCTATGCAACTCAAACTGGCTTCCTTGGGTAAACTGATAGTACTATCCCACACATTAAATGGGATAGTTAGAGTAGTTATGTTATCTCCATTACCCCCTCCCATCGTACCACATAGGCAATCTCTCTAGGGAAAGAGGAGAGGAAGCAAGCTGTTCCCACATCACTCCTCCATCCACAGCACCTGTCCTGCTCCACAGCAATGGAACAATACAGCTAGTGCACAGAGGTCAGGCAGGAGCCCCAGATCCCAGGAGAGAAGCTGGTGAAGGTAAGTGCTATATGACAAAAGGAGGATTTCTGGCACAGAGAAGCGTCACCACACCAAGATGCTGCAACCTTTGCTTCAGGTTGGAGACCCCAGGCAGCAGGTGCTGCCCCTTCTCCCAGCCCAAGATGAGAACAGCTAAGGAGTCAAGGTCAGGAAGAGCAGGGAAAGAAGAGATTTCATTCTCATGCAGCTCTGTTATCTCCCAGAATTAGTAACACTGATATGTGGTGGTATCAGCCTGCACATTCAACATCAGCACGCTTGATGACATTTGAACCTTCATTAGGTTTCTCATGAATGACACTGAAATAAACTACAGGAGCAAAGCCACCTATTAAAGGCACTAAAATAATGCTCACACAATATAAAACCAGGCAGTTTCCTTCACAACGGAGCTAATAAAGCCTTATACCTAAAAAAAGCTGAGCACACACTGAAGCCTTTTCATCAATACAGGCATTAATTACATCTCTCTTCTCTATCTGGCTGCCAACATTCATTACAGTGGTAGAACCTTAATACCATCAAGGCATCTGCCTCGCTGTTAAACAGGACTAAAATGGGCCAATGATTTGGAAAGTCAATAGGATAGGGTTGGAGAGGCTGGCAGAGAGACAGCATGACAGAAAAGGCCTCATTTCCAGAGGAAGCCAGGCAGAACAGAAAAGAAAGCGATGCACATCCCTCTGATGGCTGTAACAAATCAAGGTCCTCGCGTACCACCTGCCAAAGGCTGTTCTGGTTTCTGCCAGGAGTCAAAAGAGACTGTCCATAGGACTTGGAAGCCACAAGGCTACACTCCACACTCTCTCCTTGGAAGGCAAACACAAGTTCCATATGAAGGCAAAGTGCTGCACCACACTCGTGTGGTGGTGCAGCCAAACCAGTGTGTCTGGTTTGAGGAAAATTACATAGGCAAAGGGAAAAGTAGGCTCTGGTTTACCCCCGTGACTTCAGCTGGATGATGACTGTGAGCAGGATGGTTAACAGCAGATCCAATCTCAACACACTGGGAGTCTGCAGTGCTGGAATTCAGGAGGTACAAGTTCATGTCCAAAGCATCCCGAGTTTGACAGTTTTAGACCGTACCTTCAAGCTGTTCAAATGGCTTGGTGCAAGTAACAGTGCTCTAAGGAAAGGAGGGCAGTCAACAGCACTGATCCCCATTCAGTGAGACTTACTTCCAAAAGGATGACAGCCACTTCCAAGAGGCAAGTTTAGGGGGCCTATAGGGATGCTGGGGAGGGACTCTTCATTAGGGACTGCAGTGACAGGACAAGGGGTGATGGGTTCAAACTGAAACAGGGGAAGTTTAGATTGGATATAAGGAGGAAATAATTTCCTGTTAGGGTGGTGAGGCACTGGAATGGGTTGCCCAGGGAGGTTGTGAATGCTCCATCCATGGCAGTGTTCAAGACCAGGTTGGACGAGGCCTTGGGTGATATGGTTTAGTGTGAGGTGTCCCTGCCCATGGCAAAGGGGTTGGAACTTGATGATCTTAAGGTTCTTTCCAACCCAAACTGTTCTATGATTCTAAGTTGAACACACAGCCATCACAAACGCTCCCTCTTCTTCACCATGCAACACCATTTCCCTCAACAAACACAGATGAGGGAGACGGGACAGAGAACAGAGGAAGAATGTGCGTGCACTCATGCACTTACTGCCACCAGCATTACTTCCCAAGGAGGGAAGGTAATGTATTTAGAAGTATATATTTATAGGTGTATATACACATAATATGTGTGCAAATAAAATAAGCAAAAGCAGAAAAAGACCAAGCACAAAAGAATTCCCTTTTGTGGAAAGGTTGGAAGAGTGGGAAGCACAACTGACAAGAGTTTATTCACATCCCTTAAGTCATAGCTGATGGTGCTCAGCTAGCAGGATTATGTGCTAGCTAGGGTAACCAGGATCTGCAGACGCGAGAGCTCCTGCTGTCTGACTGAATCTCACCCTGTATTCCATTTTCCTTTTCAAGTGGCTGCATTTCAGTTTGCCCCTAAATACAAAAGCAGCAAAGAATACTCCAGAGATAAACACGTCTGTCACCAAGATTAATCCTGTCAAAGAGCACCGTACTGAACTGGAAGTTCCAAAATACACAGATGCATATTCAGATTTTCCTAGAGGCTTGTATTAATTAATCTGCAATGGTTTGTATAATGAATATGTAATTACAGTCAATGTTTTGGGTGTCTTCCCATACGAAGACAGGCTGAGAACATTGGGGCTGTTCAGCCTGGAGAAGAGAAGCCGCGTGGAGACCTCAGAGCAGCTTCCAGTGTCTGAAGGGGGCTACAAGGATGCTGGAGAGGGACTCTTCATCAGGGACTGTAGCAACAGGACAAGGGGTGATGGGTTCAAACTGAAACAGGGGAAGTTCAGGTTAGATCTCAGGCAGAAGTTCTGCCCTGTGAGGGTGCTGAGGCTCTGGAATGGGTTGCCCAAGGATGTTGTGAATGCTCCATCCGTGGCAGTGTTCAAGGCCAGGCTGGACAGAGCTTTGGGCAACATGGTCTAGTGGAAGGTGTCCCTGCCCATGGCAGGGGGTTGGAACTGGATGAGCTTTAAGGTCCTTTCCAACTCAAACCAGTCTGGGATTCTATGATGTAACATGCATTAGTCAGCTACAATGCAGCACACCAAGCTGTGAGAGTGCACAAGTCTCCCTGCCAGGCTCCCTGAAACCTGGTGCTCTGCTCTTTTCCAAGGCAACATCTCCAGCTATCAGGCTGTAGCCAGCTTACACTCGCCTCCCACCAGTCTCCATTTCAAGCTGCCTTTAAACTGGCACTTGCCAAAGTCCAGCTGATGAGGCTCCCATTTGCTCTGTTGCTTTCTTGGGTGATGGACAAATACATGTCTTCCTAATGTTCAACCACAGAATCATAGAATCCCACACTGGTTTGGGTTGGAAAGGACCTTAAGATCATCCAGTTCCAAACTCCTGCAGAGACACCTCACCCTAGACCACGTAACCTGTTATCTTTCCCAATTAAGAGTAGAGGTTATATCTATTCTAGTTACCTGCACAGGAAAGGAGGGAAGTGGAGAGACAACGTTCCTAGG